ACAAAAAAAAAATGAACTCTCCCCACCACTGCGAACCGGGCGAAATGACGTAATGGCGCAAGCGGTTCAGCTCAAGCGGACACCGTACCACAAAGCATCCGAGACATTGTACAACAACATCCGAGCCCCCCCAAAAGTATGGCTATGGCTTAACAAAGGTCAGCCGGAGCCGGCCGAACTGGTCGAATGATCGTATTAGAGACTTCTGGCAGAAGCATCTGCCGCAGAACCAAACCTGAGCCTGGCAAATCTCTACTCGTTCCGAGCCATGGCCTCGAACACGCTTGACCATGTTTGCCACCGATTTGCGGTTTATTGCCTCATTCTCGGTCTCGTTGATCAGAGTTACCATGAACGTAAAGCGGTCAAATTTCATGACATTCAACATGTGCAGAAACTTTTTCTTCTTCGCATGGTTCTGCTCGTGCGCGTTGAGGTTGACCCCCGAGAGCTGGGCGCATGAGTCTATCCCCACCGTACTTTTGGCGGCAGTCATCCCCGTGGTTGCAGTCGTGCAGGGCGTTAGGCCCGTAGTAAGGCCCGGCATTGCTCCCCAAGGGGTGCGTTCTGCGCACTGTCGCCGTGGGGTCCTCCTGCAGCGGTTGGATGTCGAACGGGAGGCCATACTCTTCAACGATGCCATTGGTGTCAGCGCTTTTCCCCGGTTGATGTTGAGCCACCTGAATCTGAAGGGCTTTCGTACGCTGCACCGCCGACCCGAAGCATGCTCCTGAGCGCACAGCCAGTTCTGTGAGGACGAACAGAGATGACGTACAAAAAAACGGCATGCCATGTGTTGGCTCATGAAAACGTTTTGACTAAGGTTTGATCATTTTGAGCCGGCCTGGAGGTAACGAACGACATGTACCATACCGGCCTGATACCGGCACCAACATTGACACATTATGGAAAAACGTACACAGCCCGGTAGATTGGTGGTCCTTAGATTATTGGACCAACAAAACGACTAGCCTCAACACCTAACACGCAAGTGTCCACGTCCTCGTACCTGCCCTCTTCTTTGCGCACTGGTTGGCGGGTTGAAGTCCAATCGCGATGAACTCCTCCTTGGCCTGATCCAGATGTCAGAGGTCCCGAAGAAGGGGACGGAAAGTAAACCGTGTGGTCGAAAAAGTTGTCTAAGTAGTTGGGTTACCGCAACATGGGCTGCTTTAATGCATTTATACAGGAAACTCCGTACAAGCATCAGAAAAAAAAACATTGCTGGGGTAGTCTTGTTGACATGGC